AGGTGAGATGAGGCTGGTGCAGGCAGTTGTCTCCAGCTGGGGGCACTGATATCTTGTCACTTTCTTCTGGTGAGAAGGTGACAACCTGTTTTTGCTGTGTTGGGCTTCGGTAATGTGGCATGATTAACGCTGAGGATGTAGTCCAAGAGACTCTCTGGGTCAGAGAGAGGAGCTGCAATGCAGCTCAGACATGTCTCTGCACCTGCTGACTCATGCAGCACCCAAGAAAGCCATGGGCATGGGGGCCCGGCTCACTGGCTCACAGCATGTGGTGAGTCAGGGCCTGACGAGCATGAAGTCCAGGGGTGGCTGTCACCAGTGTCTTTTGCCTGATGGTCCATGAGCAGAAGGGGTGGTGATGGCAGAGGGGTCAGTAAGAAGGAACTTGTCTCTGCATCCTTTGCTCACAGGGACACCCCTCTCCATCCTCTCCAGTGAGGGAATGATTCCAGCATCACTCATCCTCCCACCAGCAGCTGAAGCAGGGACGGGCTAAAGACAGAGGATGTCCTGTCTGTCCTCTCAGGTTATTGTGTCCCTGCAGTGACACACAGCTACTAGATAGCATTCAAGGGCTTTGCTGTATCCTTATCCACCACCTGGACCACCTGGTCCTATCCAGGTGATGGGGTTTGTCTTCTATAGTCAGGCTCTTCCCGGAGCAGCATCACCATCGGGAGCTCACAGTCTTCTTTCAAGGTCCCCCCCCCCTGCCACTCTCAGCTCAACTAAAGTGTAAATCAAGCTGGCTTCATTAATATCACTGGAGAGCTACTCATGCAGCAGGGGAGCAGCCAGCATCTGTATGGACAAGGAACAGGGGACGCGGGCACCTGGCAGCCAAGATCCTCTTCTGAAGGATAACTATGAGGGCTGGTCTCTCTCTCTCCCTATCTGTTATGTTTGCTTTGCAAAGTCAAATTGAGTTGTGTCCCTGCTCCATTGCTGTTCCAGGAAAAAAAAAAAAAGAAAAAAGAAAAAAAAAGGCTTTTCTCTTTAAATGCTCAGCCCAAAGGGTTAATTTTGTACTTGGTTATAGCACGGGCTCTTGTATTCTTCAAATTCTTCCTTGCTCTAGGTGTGTTACCAGGTTTGGATTTGTGTCAGTGTGTATGGCAAGCCTAGCTGGGGTCAGGAAAGTCTTGATGATGCCCAGGAGGGAACTGCAGCCAGAATCCTCCTCTGCCTTGGCTGGGGGGGGTGGGGTGAGGGGAGCAAGTGTGGTTCCATGGCCTGAGCCACCCTGAACAGCGGCTGATGTGGTCCGGCCCTTCCTATCTTCAGCCCCACATCCCTCCCGTCCTCTTCCATTGGTAACCCTGCTGCTCTCATCCTGCGGAGGCTGATTCAGGGAGCAAAGCAGGCAGAAAACTTCCCCCATGAAAATAAAGTGAAGAATATTCTGCCTGTTTAGCTTCCATTACTGGCTTATGGCCAGACCAAGTGAGAACCAGTAGCTGGTGATTGGCAGGGGCCAGAATCCACCTAAGGCTTTCTCACTAGCCTGTTTCCATGTATGTCCTTATGTGCCTCTTCTCATATGACATCTGTCTTCCCATAGATAGTGTGACTAGACCTAAATTAACCCTCTGAATGAACTGGAGAATAGTTTTCAGCATTCTACTTTAAATTTTCTGAGGAGACCCTAACACTCAGAGCTTGCAGCCGGGTTACTGATTGAATTCCAGCTACCGCTGCGCAGACATCAGCAACTCCTGTTCTTTGCAGACAGTGAGGAAAGCTAACACTTTTTAGGCAAATGTGTGAATCAAGAACTGAAGTTTCTCAGGCACGCAGGAATTCACATCCCACCAGCAGTTCTGAGTCCTTTTCTAAATCTAGAAACCAAGTGCTTGTGAGCAGGTTCTAAATTTGGCCAGCAGACTCTCCTCCCACGTGTTGGTAGGTAGGATGCGGATGTGGAAAACCACCGACACAATTAGCAGCCGGTTGCGCTTCAGCAGACGGCCTCTCTGAGACTCAAGGAATGAAAGGCGGAAGAGCCAGGCGTGCAGCCCACTAATTTTGCTGCTCAGAAGTGGTGGTGCTGGTCTCTTGAGCTGGTGGTGACCTTAGTATTTTTCCCCTCAGGAAATACAGTTTTGAAAAACACAGTGACAACAAATAAGGAAGCAAAATAATGCTACTGTACGATATTTAACGTTCTTCCTAAAGCTCCAGGTTATGCAAGCAAAGGGTTAGGAGAAGCATTCACTTTCCTTCTGTAGCACTGATCTGAGAGGGCTCCCTGTAATTTTTGAGCCATTGAGACTCGGAAGATTAACTGAACTTTCCCTCCTCTGGCCCAGACTATGGTATCCTTGGAGGCATGGACCATTTCTGTTTCCAGAAGCAAAGCTCTGTGTGTCAGAAGACAAACGACAAATGAATGGTGCTTGGTGCAGGCTGTTAGCGCAGCGGTCCTTCTGTGGCTGGAGCACGAGAGAGCATCTTTCTCTTGCTCACTGCTCTGCACGAGAGGCTGATGAACATCTCTGGAGAGTGGAGGATGAAGGAGGAAGTTACGCTGCATGATGGATCCAGCAGGTTGGGCAGTTTGGCAAGGTCCCAGGCAAAGGTTGGACCCCCATGCTGCATCCCCCGGTCTGGGAGCGAGGATGTCATTTGCACAGCAGAGCTGTGGTTCTGCAGAGCCCAAGCTGCTGTGGGAGGCCGGGTGCATTTATAACCTTTGCTGCCGAGATAAAATAGAGCGAAGAGGAAGCTGTGCGATGACTGACTAAAATAAAACAGCATCAAGGTAGCCCTGAGGCATGAGGGGGTCTGGCATGCCTTCTTGGCAGCAAAGGCTGGCAGCATCCTCTTTGTCCCCTTGCCACCTCTCTGGCACAGCCTGACCGTGCTTTTGCAGAAGGTGTTAGGGGAAGGAGAGGCAGGGCCATGGCTTGGCTGGGGGAGTGAAGGAGTGGGCAAGAAGGGGAAGGTGGGCAGCTGTGCCATGCCGCAGACAGGAAAATGCCGTGGGCAGAACCACGATTCACCCGCAGGAAGTGCCATGGCGTTCAGGTGGCTCCTTCCATGTAGGGTGCAGAAGAGGAAATGGCTTGCTGAGTTTAGTTAAAGTCCTCTGTCCTGCTACCCACCCCCAGAGCACCTCAGAGCACTCAAGGTTCAATGCTGGCTTTCTTGGGAGCCAGGTCCATGCTGCAGTGATATCCATGTACTGGAAAGATGTATGGATCTCTCAAATTGGCATCAGGCATCCAATTCAGCCCGAGAAGAGTTAGACTCTCCCCCTGCTCACGGCTCTGGACTGAAGGTGTGCAGGAGAGTGTGCAAGGAGAGGCACAATTTCTGCTATAATTAATTCCTGGTCTCTCCAGCTTTTTGGCCTTTCCGCTTTCAGATAAAACCACCGGAGCTGCCCTCACAGCTGGAAGCTGCTCCTGTGCAGTCCATTCCCCCACTGGGGTAAGTGTGACCGTGCTGCTGCCCAGCAAGAAGTAGGAAATCCGCCACGCTGGCTCCATGCCAGGCCTTGTTATCCAGAGCCAGAGCCAGAAATAAAGGCCAGACAGGCCTGGGGTGGGTTTTGAAAACTTCACTTGCTGCAGGAAACCTTTAATGAGCGTCAGAAAACTGCTGAGAGTAGGATGCTCCTGGGGGCTGGAGTTGTGTATGGCAAGGCTGAGGGTGTTCCCACTCATGTCGTCCATCTTCCCTTTCAGCTGCAGATCTGTTGGGTTTGGCTGGGGAGATTTATAGCTTTAGGTCCTGCTTGGGTTTTCAACAGAGCAAAAACATGAGCATCAGTGAGAGCCCATGGCCTGACTGTGCTGAGAGGGACCTGGAGGACTGATGGACCTTTATGGTAATTGCTATCTGTGCCAGTCTAAGGACAGCTGCAGATGGGCTACCCATTATCAGACACAAATGTAGGTGTTTCAGGGAAATCATAGAGTTCAGAGCTGGCGGGTTAGGGGTGGGGTGTGTGTGTCATCCGTAATTGCGAGAACAGAAGACAAAATCTGCTGGCTGAAAAATCTCAATCTAGAAATGCTGAAAGAGGTATTCCAGGTCACTTAGGCTTTAAATACATGCACCACAGTCATATCATTGCTGGTGTGCATCATCAACAGGGAGATGGGAGAGGGCAGTGAGCTGGGGAGTTGCTGCCTAGCTGTGGACACCGGGAGGACAGGACCACGGGGCACCAAAGCTGTGGGCCCTGAGAAACCACCACTTAGCTGAGAAGCTGCTGTGACAGGGTGTGTCAGAGGTGCCTCTCTGTGCAGGCCTGCTGCTGTGGCTTCCCATCTGTGTTCCAGTCCTGCACACAGCTCAGCTGGCATCAGCTCTGCCTCTCCGAGCACGGCTGCCCCATGCTGGGCTCCCCAGCCTGCTGGTGATTGTATCGCAGGCAAATTCCCCTTCCTTCCTTCTCAGCTCTTGGGGTTTTTTTTTGTTTTCTTTGTTTTTCTCTCCGTCTTCAAAGAAAATAGTGCTTGAGGACAAGGGAAGCTGTCCGACTCCTGGTTGGCTTCCTTCCGGAGCATAACCTGCTCCCAAGTTTTCCTTGGGATTTGCTTCTCTGAGGTGCTGTGTGGGAGGAGAGCAGAGCAGGACAACAAGCATAGATACCTCACAGAAATGTAACTCTTTTTGTTTGTTTCTTTGTTTGTTTTCTGGTTGGAGTTTAGGTGTCAGACTCAGTTTGACTTAACCTGAATGTTTCTTATGAATTCCTGGGGAATAAATGCTGGTGCTCATCCTCAGGAGACTCCTCCCTGCAAGAATTGGGGCCAGAAGTTCAGAGGGGCTCAGCTCCAAGATTTCTCCAGCAAAACACAGGCCCTGACACATGCTGTGCTTGCTCTTGGGGCTATGGCTCCCTCACTGAGCATCTTCCACCCTAGGGCTCCCTGGCTTTCTGCCTGTGTGCCAATGGTGTCCCAGTGGCTTTGTGCGCCACCTTCCCAGGGCTCAGATCAAGCCTGTTCTCCACCACTAGCTGAGCTGAGCGTGCCCTTGTTTTGCAGGTGAGACACAGGACCCAAGGCCATGCCCGACTGGAATGAGAGGGAGCTGCTGACTTGCCCTGCTGTCCGAGACACCCCGCGACCGCTGCACCTGTCCCCTGCTACAGCCCTGACCCAGCCATGGAGAGCACAGGTCCATGATGCCGCACGCGGAGGGGGCAGGAGAGCTACTGCTGGAGGTGGCAGGGGACCAGGGTGGCCAGGGGCCTATGAGCATACCTGCCTGACTGATTCACCCACCTCAATTTCCCTATATGTGAAATACATACTTATCAAGGGAGGGACAACTGTCTTTGAGCAGAGTAATATAATACAACATGTGCCATAACGTCACAAGGTATTTGTAAACCCTGCTTGGTAGAAGGGGAATGAGACATGAAATGACCGAGCAATAGCCTGAGGATTTCCTGTAGAATTGGCACTTTGAAAATGCTAGGTTTGGAAAATATTCACATCTGAATTTTAAAACAAGTTAATGTTTTATTATATGGTTTTTTTTCCATCTATGCTTTGTTTTTATGCTGTTTCACAATGTGATGTCAGTCTCTGTGCACCTCTAGGTCAGGATATAAACACCGAAGCATTTTATTTCATTTTTAAACCACTAATAGTTTTCGCTACTAGATTGAGATTTGTTTTTAGATCAAAGTGTCTCTTGTTTATACTAGAACAAACACTTTGACGTTCTGCTCCCCATGAAGAAACCTGAAGATACCATCACTGCAGTCACTTTGATTTAGAAAAAGGGGACATAATATTTATATCCGTGCTAAGAAAAAAACTTCCCATAGTAACTGAAAATATACACCACAGAAAGAATAGGATATTTCAAATAGTCCATTATGACGTGTAATTCTTTGGTACAAAAACAATAAACATAATAGTAAAATTTGAGAGCCTTATAAAATCACATAGGAGAAAATAACAGAAGAGAAAGCAGAAATTTCCAAAGCAAAATTCTGACACTTCCCCAAATAACACTTCCAAAATGAGAAAAATTCCATGAACACTTTTGCTCTGTAATTTCTCCCTGTGTGGGTACAATGGCGTGACCTAGGTCAGCAGATATGAGTTTTTCCCCATATTCGCACTTAACTTCAGCAGCAGGTCCTGACCATTTTGAACCTGAATCTGTGGCTGTTTTCTAACCCAGCCTTGACTGAAGCCACAGGAGTAAAATAGCCTCTGCAGAAGAAGCTTGAATTGAATGAACCTCTGCACAGGCATTTCTAATGGGATGCATTTCCTTGGCGGGGGGGTGGGTCAGTAAATAGGAGTACTATGTTGACTATTGTGGTGAGCATGGGCCACCCACTACCTGGGAATGGGACATCCCCAATACCTTCATGTCTGCATTTCCTGTCTTGTTTTAAGCAGATCTTGTGTCTGCCTCTCACGTGCCCTGGTCCCCCTTCTCTTGGACTCTGGGCACTGCAGTCCTGGGCTTGGAGAAGGCAAATGAGAGACTTTGAGAGGCTCATCATGAGTCTGGCTGTGCTGCTTGCCTTGGGAGCTGAGAATGAGAAGGTGGCAAGGATGCTGTAACGGGGTGATTGCCCCTGTGTTGCTGTGGTTCATCTGCTGTGCCTCACCGGTGGGAACGGTGGCAACTTTGGGGTGCCACATCCACTGCCCTGTATGCCAGCTGTGGGCAGGGCCCACACACCCTCTAAAAGGCACGGCAGGAAGGGCAAAAATTCAGCTCTGGGTCTTGCAGCAAACCTGCCCTGAGACAGCTCATGGGTCTGCATGGGAGGAAGGGGTAGACACTCAAAATTGCCCCACCTCCTGCATGATAATGAATGAGTGGCCCCCTGCCCACAGGATCTGGTATTTCACTCACTGGAGATGCCTCTTGAAGACCCTATTTGTCTGGCCCTCCACTTAAGCTGTAAAGCCCACCCCGGTATTTTCATGTTTTCCTTTCTGCAGCTGGCCTACACAATACTGAGGCCTCACTCACACCACTAGCTCCCAATCCACCTCCTTCCTGTCACTGCTCCTTTTTAAATCCCAAAGCTCCAGCTGCTCCATTAGCTGGACCCAGCACAGTTGGCTTCTTTATCTCCTCGCAGGCCTGAGGAAGGAGCTTTGAAGGCTGTGGTACTCGAGCATAGCTATTAAATAGTGTTATCTCAACTGCCTCCTCCGTGTCTTGACAGTAAAGGTGACCACTCACCACTGCCCTATCACCATCGCTCTGACACTAGGGAATATGAAGCTGTGGCAGAAGAGGTTGTGGAGGAAACAGGCACATTCAAAACCAAAATTAGGCAAGGAATGTGGTAATTGCAGCAATCCCACATGCATGAGACAGCTCAGACCTGGCAGTATGATTCTGGAACTCCCTTGGAACTGGGTAAACAATTCGTTGCTTGCATCCTTGCCACATGGGCAAGACCTGCTCAATCACTGCTAACAGCAGTTCAGACCGCTCCAGTGAACATAGATGCATGCAATTGCACCAGGAGAGGCCATGGGGATACAGTTATCACAGATACCTGAGATCCGTCCTTGGATCAAGCCATGTTTTGACTGCTCCAGACTATAACTTCCTGCAGATGGAGAACATCACTTAATAATACCTAACCTTGTATAGTGGTTTTCTCATTACAAGGCAGGAAGAATCATTTTGCAGATGGGGAAAGAGAAGCCCCGTGTAAGGAGGGAAAAAAAGACAGGCCACAGTGAAGTAAAGGGACCCACCCTGCATCGTTCCTGGCCCATACCCGACACGTCTTCAGGGCTGACTTTTATTTTACGTTTGCAATTCTCAGAGCACATGGCCAGCCGGCTGACGTGCTAATTCACCTGTGATCACGAGTGCTCACCCTATGTCAAGTCATACCCTAGCTGGGTCTGAGGTTGCAGACTTGTTATTTTTGTCCGAGGTCAGGATGCAGCTTGGTTTTGATGCTGTAGAGTACGAGAAGTATATGTAGTGGTTACTAGACAACATTTCTCACAAGAGCGCTGGCCTCAGGTCCTTGCATCAGAGAGCTGAAGGTATTCGGGAAGCTGAGGCCTCGTGGTGTGGGGCCACGCCATAGGTGTGAGGGGCTGACAGGCGGGTGGTTTCGTGCCGGTGAGAAGCTGTCAGGGCTCCCAGGTGGAAGAGAGACAGTGAAATGCCCAAGGAGGCTGGCTCTGTATGGGTTTCCCATGAGGTGGTGAGCTGTCAGCATGGGCCTCATCATAAGCATGCTCCTTGTGTCAGGTGCCTGTGAGAGCTTTGCCTCCTGTCCCCAGGCAGCTCCCAGCCAAGCCAAATCCACACGGTGCCCTGCAGTGTGTTGGCCAAAACACAGAAGTGTTTCTGATCTTTCACAGTGCCAAATTGTGCTTTCTTTTCAATAACTTCTTTTTTTAAACGTGTAATTTTTTACTGAACAAGGGGAGAGAAGGGCTCTGCAGTCTTACCTACAGGAAAAGTTCTCTACAGAGTTTCTCTGCTTTCACATCCCTACAGGATTCTTTTTCTCTTCAGTATAGCTGCATGGGCCACCAATTCATTGGGGGGACATTCAACCCCTGGCCCCAGTGGCCCTGAGGCCAGGGCTTTGACCTGTTTCCGTCAAGGCTCACTTAGGTTGGAAAAGTCTGCTATAACACCTGTCCAGAGACATGCCATGAGCAGGCCTCGGAGTCACCACGCTCACCACACACAAACCCAGTGCCAAAGCCATTCCCCGGGTCCTGTCCATGTGAAGGCCAGCGGGCACGTCTCCGGGTGCAGGTCTTCGAAAGGGGCAGGCACAGAGCTGGCCTCACTGCCCACATCCCTTTCATCTTCCCAGAGGTGGAGTCGGATATCCTGCGCCGTGTGCGTACCCTGCTGCGAGAACTGGACGGACACCACCCGGCCTTCCAGTGTGACCGAGGTAAGGTGAATGGCCTGACACAGCTCCCACGGAGGCCCCAGAAGGGCTCAGCACCAGCCATCACCCTTGCTGCCTCCCTGCATATTGCTGTGGCCCAAATCCTGCACCGTTCGTTCTTCTTCTCTCAGATGACACCAAGGCCAGGGGACATGGGATGGCCTCAGCTTCCTCACAGCTTCTCTGAAGTCTCTAATGTGCTCCCGGAGCTGCCAGATCTCTGGCACACTGCTGGTGTCTGTCACTCAGTAACCACAGCAGCTTTCATCCCACCTCCACATGGCTTTGTTACATCTTCTTCACCCTTAACTCACCTAGAAGGGCCCAGGGTTGAGGAGGAACATTAAATGACAGTTTGACTCTGTTCCCAGCTCTGACACTAACTCTCTGCACAGCCCTGTCCAACTCAGTACCTATCTGCTTTAGTTTCCCCAAATCTCCTTGTGGGTGTATCACTTTGCAATGCACTGCTAGGCTCCTTGATAAAGAGTCATTTGAAATCTGCGTATTTCTGTTATGGAAAATAAAGCTGAGCCAGCAGCTGGACTGTTACAGCCTTCGGAAACATAATTGAGTTTGAGAAATTGATTTTACTTGGAGTGCAGGGAATATTTTACAGTTAATTAAATTTGATTTTGTCTTGAATGGGCCTTGACATCTGTAGAACTGAAAAACTTCATGGTTCTTGCTCTGAGTGTGAGTTATTGGCAGCCAGTGTTCAGGTGCTGTGTGCTGGGACTGGCAAGAACCCAGATTCCTCAGGGCACACTGTGAAACCAGGCAGTAACAAGCAGCAGCAGAGGGAACAGGGGCTGAAAGGAAATGTAAGATGTTGTCTAGTCCATTGCCCTGTCTTGCTTTTTTCTAGTCACTCATTCCCAGGATTTCAAAAGCATTTGTGTGCATCCATACTTGTGCTCTCAGCCTGGCTCTATAGTATCATCTCTACATGGAAAAGTGGGACTTGGAAACACTAATGATTTTGCTCACAGCAGAGAGCGAGTAAGAGGGAGAGCCTAGCTCAGGAATCCTGCCTCAGTCATGCCCTAACCAGGGTCAGATGCCAACCTGAGAGGCACTGATAGTAGCTGTGATCCGGAGAGTTGCTCCATATTAATACTAGCCTGATGGAATTATGGCCAGGCCCTGCCGCTCTGTGCTCAGCTATTTCCTTGAAGAGGGAGGGTGTTGGAAATCATCTGTGATGCTTTCCCAAAGGTCCCACAGTTTTCCAGGTACGACACATTAATACTGCATTCAGAATCAAGGCACTGGTTTAGCTCTGATAGTGATGCCAGTACAGCATCCCAATGGCTGTTTTATGGCGCAAGAGTGCTGCATAGCGCCCAGGTCTCCTGATTCCTCTGTCAAACCCTACTCCTGACCCATCAGTTCTCTCCTTGGCAGCCTGACCTCTCTGTTGGTTTTCGCTTCTCAGGGATGCTGCGATGGACCTTGCATAAAAAGATTGATCAGAATCCCAGCAACAGCTCCATCCTGGTTAGAATCCTGGTGAAAGAGCTAGAAAGGGTGAGTGCTGCCTTATCCTGACTGCCATGGCTAGCCCCTGTGGTGTGTGCCCTTGGTGCTGCTGTAGTGCCCAGGGGGAGCAGAGCATCAGGAAGTCGTCTGTATCTGCAAGGCTCGGCCCTGCCTGCAGGGATGCTTCTGGGGCATCCCCATCTCTCCCTATGGCCCCCAAAAGTCAGTGCCTCTGAGAAGATCCTGGCTTATGTGCTTCTGGGGACCTGAGGCCCAGCTGGGGACTGTGGCTTATAGCAAAGAGCCTGGGAAAAGTCTGTAGGACACCACGGTAGGGCTATAGCCTGCACCATTGCCATGGGAAACAGGCTTTGCCTTGAATGATGAAAATTTCTCGTGTATGTCACTTACTCCTTCCAGAATGGTTTTCTTTCATTGATTTGTCACTTTCTAAACTAGAGCATCCGCCACATCTTGGGGTCACCAGTTTTATGGTTTAATTATATGTTGGGTACAGAAGTAGCGCCTTTTGTTTCTTATGAGTCTACCCGATAATTTCTTTTGGCACCCTCTCATTCTGGTGTTAGGAGGAACAGCTAATGATCATCCTCCACTTTCTCCTCCCCATGCTTGGGGGGAAGGGGGCACATCCCCACATTCCCCAGAAGAAGAGCCCCTGTTAGCCATCCTTCGGGCAGAAACCTTCCCATACCATTTTCTCTGTATCCTTGCTGTTTCTACTTTTGAGCTGAAGGGCTGGAGCTGCACACATACACACTGTGAATGAAGAGAGCACAGTGGCATTCCTTGCTTTGTCCCCTACTCCTTTTGTGACAATCTCTAACACTTGCTTTGCTTTTTTCAATCCATTAAACTTCAATATCCAAGAGCTCAGAGCCCATCACTGCCCATGCAAAGCCAGGGCTGTCTTCCTTCATGTGCCTTGTTTGGCATTTTTCAGCTTGCACATCTCTCACCAGCCGATGCTTAGTGCTGGGAGAGCTTCTGCAGCATGTGCTGTTATTGTTCCTGCTTACTGCCCCCAGTAAATCAGCATACTCTGCAGATGCTGTCACCTCACTTGGTCCACGCTGCTGTGTCACACGCTTGAGCCATGTCAGCCCAGCACAGATCCCTATGCAGACATCAACGTGCTGGGAAAATTTAGCAGTTATTTCTAATCTTTATTTCTCACCTTTTAAGTAAATGAGTCTATTTGCAGGCTGTCCCTCTCACTCTGTTGTAATACAGCTGCCACCAAAGCCTTGGGGAAGGTTCTGTATCACGCGGCTTTTCTAAATCCAAATAGACAGGAACGCCCACATTATCCATGGCTATGGATGCAGAGACTCGTCCAATGGGTTTGAGGTCTGCCTTCCTTTACAAAAGCGATGTCAGTTCCTCCCCATTATACCTATTATTGCTCTTTTACTCTTATTTTTGTTTGCCCAAGAGGGATATCAGGCCTCCTGGTCTGTAATTCCCTTCATCTCCCTGAAGCTCTTCTTGGAAATTAGTGTCACTTTTTTTTTATTCTTCTGGCACTGTGGCAGTCCTGAGCAGTCAGTATCAACCACAGATAATAATTCAGCAGTTTCATGCTTGAGTTTCTCCAGGGCTCTGGGCAAGTATCAGCTGGTCTCAGCAATTCAGTATTATTCATTTTATTGATCATTTCTAAAGCTTTGCTGTCATTAGTTCAATTTAAATCAGATCCATCAACATATTATCCCTGAAAAAAGGTGCTGGGGCAAAACTCCCTAATCACTGGGGCATCAATGTGAAGATCTCTGTGAGCCACGTGGCTATCCTTGACTTGCTAAGCTTTCCCCTCACGTCTCGCCAGCTCCGTGCACTTGCTATGCTTCACACTGCCCACAAGCCGAGTCATCGCCTCAGCACACCAGGGATGATACTCACTAGGAGTGGGGCTAGGTTCACAGCACATCCCTCCCTGTCACCAGGCTGCTGGATTTGTCACTGGAAGGCCCAGGGTTTGGTGCAGTTTGTGTTGCAGGGATCAGAGCTGGCCAAGCTCAGGTCCTGCCCAAGCTCTCCCGGCAGTGGAGGCTCTCGCTCTGCATCACAGCTCCAGTAACCCTCTGGTGCGGCTCTGTGATGGGCTGTATATGGGAAGCAATGAGCCCTCACGCCTAATAACTTGCTGGCACACTAGTGTTCAGCACAAATCCATCCATTTGATGGGAATAATTTAGCTGGAAGGTTTTCAGACTAGCTCCAAATACCTCTTACCTTTATGGACCTCACTGGTTTTGCAACGTTTTAGTTCATGTGAGGGAAAGCTCAGTTCCTCCCCCCAGTTCCCCTGGCCTGTGTGTACAACTGCACCTGCAGTTGTGTGCTTGGTCCAGCCTGCAGGTTGGTGCTGTCTCAGAAAGTAGTTGCAGATTCTGCTCTGCCATTCACTTTGCTGAGCTTGCCCTAGTAAAAACCCCCACCTCTACCAAGCAAGGATGATATGGCATGGCCCATTCCCCCAAACACTGCTCTGCTAGGAGTGGGAATGTGGTCCAACAGAATTACAGCAGGGCAGAAGAACATCAGCCAGAATGAGGCACTTCCATGCAGTTGTAACTCCATTTCCATTAGGGCCAGACCTAGATAGGACATTATTTAAAAGGGAAATAAAAGGAGTGCTTGCCCCAGAGGTGATCTTCCTGTGCTGTGAGGCTTCCCCACAGAGTGTGCTTCCTTGGAGGCCTGGCCAGCACAGACAGCCCCAGTGAAGGCATGCTCCTTTAGCTGCAATGGGAGGGAGTGATGTTTCCTGGATAATGTAATCCTGATTGCTCCCTGCTGATAACACTGCTCCCGTGAGCGTGCTGTCAGCTCTGTGACCTTCACCCACCTCCTTGGTTTCAGTACTCCCTTCCCACCTCTTCGCTCTTCCTCCTTTGTCCTTTGCAGTGCCCTTAGCCAGGGCACTTGGGAGCACAGGGACCTGGGCAGACCCCTCTCCCTGTCCAGCACCCTAGGTCCCAACCATCCCTGGTCACCTAGGTGAGGCTCCTGAGCCTCTCACCCTGGTGACAGGAGGAGGACCAAGCCCAGCCCTTGTTGCACACCCCAGTGATGAGGTGACATCAACCGCCCTGAAATCGATGTCACCAGCATCACTGTGGGCAGGCAGTACCCCCTCTCTTGAAGTGAGCATTCATGAAACATGGAGTGAAATACCTTTCTCAGGTTTATCCAGGGGCAATCTTGTTTTTGGAGATGTAGTGGGAGTGTAGTAGTCTTGTTTTGGAGATGTGGTCCCCATCTGCCTGAACCGCTGAGGAGTCAAAGGACAGCACATCCCATGGGATCTGGGGTGGCTCTCCTCTTAGTCTGATTTCCACTGCTTAAAAGACGCTGCTCAGCCATCTCACCACCTTGCCAATTGCTGGCTAGCCAGGGCAAGCACTGATTGTCTTTTTCGGTCTTGCAGGCTGAAAGAGGTGACTACAGACATTACATCATCCCCTTGCTGCATACTCTGATGTACGCACTGATAAAGGTAAGCTACCGTTGGGTTTTGTTGGGACAAAATCCAGGGGAATCAGAAGCCACAGGAGGGACCATCTGAAGTCACTCGGCAGCCCTTGCTGGTCCTAAGCATTTTGCTGTGCCATACTTATTCCTGTGCTGAAACATCCCAGTACATGCCCAACAAAGCCCTGAAACTAGCACAGATAGATTCAACCACGCATTTCCCAGTACGATGTATGAAAACTTGGCTGAGACATTGACACCTGTTATGTGTATGAGAGTGACAAATTCTTCCACATGACCCTCTTTTTCTGGCAATATTTTGGTACCCGATTGGGCAAGAAGCCACATTGCTGAAAAAGCCTGTTTGCTCAAGCACCTTTTCAGACTTGGCCAAAAGGTGCACCTGCACCTGCCCTTCAGTGTGTATTGCTGGATGTCTCCAGAACCATCGTAGGGTCTGATTCTGCTTTGTATATTAGATTTAAACCTAGACTGAACTGGGTGTAGCTCTGTGTTCTCCTGCCCCAGAGCAGCCCATACAGATGTTTCTTCTGGGGAGAGAGGATCATTTAGGATCATTCCCTGTGGCATCTCTTTAATGGATTCTTTTTCTCTCTAGGCTCCCTGCATCCCCGAAGATCTCTGCAGCAGAGTGTATGATTTCTGTAAGAAATTGCTCACCCTGCCCAAACCTTTCTGCACCATTGGTTTGGACTATGCTGTCAGGCTGAAAATGGAAAGGACAACCCCAGGTACATCGACTTTCCTGCTCTGCCCATGTGCAGCACAGTGAAATGGCTGGGTCCTCGAGGTGATGGCAGTGTGGGTTTCTGTACCAAAGCTGGCCTCTGTCTAACACAGTGAGACATGACAGAGCAGAGCTGCAGGCAGGGATTTCTGCACAAGGCTGACAAAACTCATGAGGGACCTTTGAGACTGTTTAGGTGTGAGACCTAGGTTCTCCCCTCCTGATTTAAGGCTGCCAACCACTGTGCTTTAGCTACCAGCAGAAAACCTTGGGATCCTCCTGCTGTCAGTAGATACCATCAGAGTCATATTCAACACATCCAAGGGCCACCTGAGCCATCATCCGTATAGGTGAAGGTCCAGGTGGCTGTACACCCTCCACCATCTATATAGGAAGCCAATATTGCACCCAGCTGGGGCACCCTAGTAAATTCTGGGGGGATGAATGGTGGCCCAGTGAAGTCTGAAAATCAACATGCTACAATCACAACATTCTTCAGAGATCTCAGTTTTGTAATGTGACCTCTGTGCCTAACAATGAGTTGCCTCCTGTTCAGCACGGACTCTCCCACCACGACCTATTTATTATAATCAGGTTTTAAGGCTAAAATATCACTAGTGTCTGCAGAGAACAGATCCTTTTAGAAATAAAGCCAGGGAACAACTCTCTCTTCCATTTTCTCTACATTGCTCAATAAAATTTCTCTTACTAAAGTCTCCTTTAATAAGAAGGTCTAAAAATAATCCTTTAAAACAGTCAGACATCTTGTGAGGTGGAGATAAAAATACAAGGAGCCTGGTGGGAAATTAGAGAGAAGTGAGGCTACTGGAAGTCCTAGTCCAACTCCATCACCCCAATTACTTCCCTGGTAACGTTTGGTCTGGAGCCCCAAGGTCCACCTTCACCTCACCTGGCTTTAGCTAAATCAATGATTCAATATGGAGAGATGGGCATCTCCAGCAGAGATTCATCCCTTCTCAGCTAAGAGCATCTCTTTGGGAGCACCATGGGGTTGATAAGATGATTACACACTGTAGTTAGGTACTTGGGCAAAGTGGGGTGGATGTGGGCCCTCGCAACTCTGCTACCCTAGTGCCACGTGTGGGGAAAGCACACCCCCCATCTGATTCAGAGGTGCTCTGAGCTCTTAGCATCCATGCAAACAGTGCCCCTAGATGTTGCCGCAGTGTAGAATCAGGTGGAGAAGTCAGGGAACTGGGCTCTTCCTCCTGCTTCCGACTCCACCCCCAAAGTCACAATTCACTAAACAAAGGAAGGGAAATACAGGAAATCATCCTTGAATAGAAGGGTTTTTCTTTTTATTTAGCATGGTCTATCTTTGTCCTTGACTATATTTAGCCCTGGGCTTGATTCTTGGCTCTCTTACATCATCACTCCAGCAACATATTTTCACTGATTTGACAGGCCTACTGTCAACCTCCAGCGTGCTACTGGGAACAGCATCAAGCTGCTCTCCTGAGTTGTGTTATTATTTCTCATGCTCTAATATCTGCATGTTTTATCTTCTGGTGTTTGTTAGGTATGTTGTACCAAAGAATGGTGATTTCCGAACAAAGTCTTAAAAGCGACCCATACCCTTATCAGGAAAAGTGAGTAGTGCCTCCTTGAATGTGTTGTTACTTCTATTTCTTTTACAGCATTTTAATCTTGTAGTAAAATCTGTCCTCTTCCTGTACTCTGAATTAATATCGGATAGAATGGACAATTCTGACATAAACGACATGGCAGCATGTGGTATTGGGGGACAGAATTTGGTGGCCTCCACTGCCTCGCTAAAATAAGCTCTGTGCTATGAAGAGCATGCTCTTCCTATGTGTCCTAGTTGATTTTCATGGCCCTGGAAAGTGGACAGCTTTTCTGGGAGAGACAGACCAGAGAAAGGGAACATCTGCAATAGCCCCTTTTTAGAGAGATATTGGAGATGCGAGCTTCTCACTCCAACCTAATGTCAGTAATTGGGAGTTCACATTTCATCTCTTTCTCCCCATCCACCTGCCCTACGCAGGGTTTTCATCTTTGCAGATCCAGAGCTGCTCTCCGAAGCCATCTGCAACGCACTGGTCACTGACATGGAGGCTGCTCGGGTTTTCCAGAGCCCGCAGGTGTGCATGTCTTACGTGATCATCCACGCCATGCAGGCCGTCCTGGGTGAGGGCTGTGACGTCAATGGCTTGAAGGGGAGCCTGCAGGTAATTGGCAGCATTTCTGCAGTGATGCACATGGGTTTCTAATGGGCCCCTCTCTCGCTGGGCACCCTGGAGTGGAGAACTTTTTTTCAGGAAGTGGGGAACTGCCCTGGCCCCTGGTTGCTGGTCACCATCCCCAGTAGCCCCAGTGTTTCTTGCAGGGCTGGACTATGAGCAGAGCTGGTGCCAAACCAAAAAATCCTCCAAAAATAAAAGATTTGCTGCAGCAAGGGGGTAGGAGCAAGAAACAGAGGCATGGGAACCCTTTTTGTCCTCTGTTATCAGACTGCTGCAGATGTCACTTGCACTCAGCAGCTCTCATCCCATGGGGATTGCCAACGTCCGATGGGAGGGATAGTCAGGGGTAGCTGGGGATGAGATGTTTTGCACTGGACACGCAAAAGTTGTCTGCCATAGCTGGCTGGAAAGCAAGATTGCTATTATCAGGGGGTAGGGGGATTTTCTGTTTTTTGGTTTTTGGTTGTTTTTTTTTTTAATCTACTTTGGCCACATTTCCTAGGCAGTTTTGCCCAGTGCAAAGGCAAAAGATGGAAATAGGTTTGGTTGTCCCAAACTGCTTTTCTTGATGTGGGAGAAGGGGAAATGTTAGGCTATTGAATCTTTGGTTTGACTCTTCAGTTTTGCACAGAAAAGCTGGGCTCTGTGGCTGAAATATAGGCTGCTCTGTGAGCCTCAATTTGGCATGAAGTCATTGCAAAAATGACTAGTCATTGCAAAAATCTTTCAGCAGAAAAGATTCAATGAGTTTTCTCCAAAATCTTCCTCAGGGAGCTATAGGGCCCTGGCAGCACAAATGAGTGGTTCAGACAACTTTGCAGGGGCTCTCAGCAGTTTCTCCCCCAAGAACACGTTTGCGCCCTTGGTGTCTGCTCTCCTCATCCTGCGGGTGTCTCTCAAGCTGCCACCTCTGTAGCAGTGCCTGTCGGCTGTGAACCTGGTGGAGAAAAAGCCTTTGAGGGGCCAGTACAGTCAGCTTCTCTTCTCCTCCAGCCTGCCATGGCCAGCCTGGGCTCAGGAGGACATTTTTGTCCTCTGCTGCAAGATGGTGATTTTTGCAAGGCTCATTCACCCTCTTCCCACATCCTGTGCCCTCCCACATCCCTGTCCATTGAATGTCTCCTCTTTTCATGCCTCTGGGTATTCATAGTGGCTCTGTGTGACAGGACATGCCCACGAGCGACATAGAGCACTGGTTCCGGCAAGTGGTGGCGGCAGTTGAATGTACAGGAAAGGAAGGGAGTGCAGACCGCAGCCAGCACGTGGCGAGGTTGGAGGAGATTTACCACGCCATTCTCGGCGCTGTGCCAGCAGGTGAGCTCCGGGCTGGCTGCACACAGTGGCTTGAGTGGAGCTGGCAGACCCTTCCTCACTGCGGTGTCCTCCCTTTTGTCATCATCCAGCCATCCATCCCTGCATCCCTGCATTCATCATTGGGATCAGGGCTCTGTCCTTGCAGCCTGGCTCCTTGCAGCAACCCAACCTCCCCGCAGCCCTGCTCTGGGAGGGCAAACTGCATGTGGTGGTGGAAAGCATATTTGTCACCAGAGAAAACAGACTCAGGCAATCCCTGCTGCTAATTCAGCTGCCCTGAGGCCCAGAGACCTGTGTCCACCACTTGCAAAAGGTGACATAGGAAGTCCTTGTCAACCAGGGAGGTGGTACACGCGCCAATGCTCTGCCGGTGTAAGATGTGTCCTGGCAGGAGCTAGATTGGGAAAATGCTGTACACTGTTTCTTGTACCAATGCAATGGACTCTGGTTTTGCCACCTCCTTCCACACCCGGCAGCTCTCTGTCCTGGCGTGGTGTCGTTGCAGATACATGTATTATAGCTAACGTCCCCATCTGCCTCGGCTCCTTGCATAAACTGGGGTAGACCAGAGTGAAACTGGGGCCGTGTTTCCCTCTTTCCTGGCTGCTCTTGGTGTGAGGCCCCTGCACCCCCTTGCACTTGCCTGGTGCTTGTGAATCGGTCCATGATCACCTGAACTCACTGAAAGAGCTGGCAACCATCCCACTGCAAGATACCAGGAGGAGCAGCCAGCGCTGAAGGAAGAAGAGTGGTATCATCTCCTTTCTGTGGCAGTGAGCTATTAAATTGTCTCACTGTTTCTCACAGAGGCATAATAGGTGTAAAATAGCCCACAATGGTGGGATCCTGCCAGGCAGGTTGGAGGCTCGTACTAGAAACAGTTTTATTTATTCTACAATCCCTCTGCTCTCTGCAGTCCAGCAAGGTGCTTCAATTCCTCATGCCTCAGTTTCCCCATCTGCATTTCTCCCTTCCTCCAGTGGTGTTGGTACCCCCTTGCACCACAATTTGTGAATAATGGCTGGAAACTCTAAATGAGAGCGGAGAACTGTGATTACACCTTCAGGATCTGGCCAGAAGGCAATCAGGGTGGGAGAGCACTGGAGATTCAGTGTGGGTTATTTCAGCCAGCATCTGAAGCAAAGTATCGGGGCGGGGTTCATGTACCTGTGTGGGAAAACTGACTGCTCCCTTGTTTGAACAAGCCTCCTTGCTTCCCCCAGATGATGCTCCCTTGGGCAAGCTCCAGGGTATCCCTCTGCCCAATCCCAACATCAGCTTTCATCTCTGGACAGAAGACGACCAGCTCTGTGAGTGCCCTTGGCAGACACTATGGTAAACTCGGACCATGCCCAAGGCCAAGGGAAACCTGTGTGAAATGCATAACTTAGCCCCAGCTCTTTGGTAGTGAGTTTCATATCCACCGGCTGGGAGACAACCAGGCTCCTGGGGGTTGGGTGCTGACCACATCAGGCTTCCTTGTCATGGGGCATCAGGGCCAGATCAGGGTAGTGTGGGGGGTGAGGGACAAAGGAGAAGAGCTGAGGGCCTTGAGTAAGAGGCAGCAAGAGGATGTGTCCTAGGTACCTGTTTTGAGTGGTATTGAGCTGTCTTTGTGATGGAATAGGAAACAGAACTGAAAGACTAACTCCTCTCAGAGTTGCTGGTGGAGGTGTTGGCCCGTCGAATTAATAAGAATAGGGAAACTGAGGCAGGATTAGAGTTCAGCATAGGTTTGGCTGTATTTCCCTTCTGAGGGCTCCCTCATCAAAGTGAAGCATGAAGGCAAGAGGTTGGCAGGTTGGCAGCTGAGCAACTGGGAGAAAAATGGTCACTGGGCAGAGCTGTCATAACTAAAGAGAGTCTGGCTGCCTGCCAGTGATGCCAAACCAGGATCTTGAAGCCATAAAATTGACATGTTCATCTTGCTGAGGTGTATGAGGAAGGTGCTTGGGTCTGGGGGCGGAGGGGGACGGCTGCCCTGCGACAGGCTCCCGGCAGCACTGGGTGACTCCTGTATGCTGCCTTTGACCTCTTCTGAGATTTCTTCTTCCCCCAGGGAAGGAATTGGTGCTGTTCATCCGCCCACCGTCGCAGAGCTGCGAGTCGGATGCGCTGAGCCAGGACCTGGACAACTTTGAGATCCAGGACATCATTTCAGATTGCGAGTGCTGCAAGCAGACTCGCTTCTCTGTGCTCTCCACCGACAGTGGCATCGAGCGGGATCTGCCTGCAGCTGCTGAGGAGTCCATAGCCCCTTGCAGCACCGAGACAGAGCAATCTCGGCTCCAGAGGAAGGGTGGCATCAAGAAAAAGTCAACCCTGCTGGAGAGCGTGGCCTTCCTGCAGGCTGGCTGCAACAGTCCTGGGGTGAAGCAGGTGATGAAGCCGCAGAGGAGGCCAGGCATCACCCCAGAACCTGCAGCCCCACTGCAGAGACTGCACACTGCCCGCATCGTGCTGCTGGGGGATGACAGGATCCTGGGGCGCTTGGCCCAAGCATATCACTCACTGAGGTAACTGGTGGCCACCCTCTGTTTGGCTCTGGGGTATGGGGATAAGAGGGCAAAGCAGGCGCTTTGCTGTTCAGCCTGTAGAAGCAGCCAGGACAGGAGGGGATGGAGTTGGGCTCTAGCATTACCTGGAACAGGATGAGACCCACTCAAAGATGTCAGTCTTCGCTGGCTGTATGGCACTGTTCGACCCCATTAGTCCAACTGATACACACAGGGAATCTTTCCCTTCTGTCTGTGACATGGCTTAAAGGAACAGCAAAACCAGGAAAGTTTCTGATGAAAAACTGAAATTTTCCAGTGCAGAAGGGAAAAATGCAGAAGAAAAGCTCTTTCCCAGCCACTATGCCCAACTGGGTGATCCAGGCCATGGAAAGCACTGTGCAGTGGGTCTGGGTCACTATGCAGGCAGCAGCTTAGGGACTAGAACCAGGTGAGGATGGGATGGCCAGTGCTAGCCTGGAACTCATCTGTGGGACTCCTGTCACCCGACTCGTCTGCCCTTGCTAGATTTCCTTGCTCTGGGAACCTGACGACATTACTGCTATCCTGTCGTGCTGGGCAAAGGAGGCATGCGAGGAGCACAGACACACACAGGGGATGTCCGTACCCTTTTTGCAGAGCAGCTGTGGTGTCCCAGCACTGCCCAGCCTTGGCCAGGAGCCATTTTCCTCCACCTTCACCTTTAAACATAGCTATGTTTTTTTTCCATTTCAAGGAAACGAGAAACACGACGAGTTTTCCTGACTCCAAGGCTGAATCTGCAGTTCTACTACATCCCGGTTGTGATGGGGCAACCAAATACATTGGCTGTTGCGGTGAGTGTGGGCTCAGTGGGTCAGGGCCTTGTTGCTGGCTGCCAGCAGCTGGCAGCATTTTTGGAGGAAAACCATGGAATTCAATTCACAGGAATTCAGATCCATTTAATGCCTCGTTCCTAGAATAAGGAGAATGGAAGCCAGGCCAGGGCTGCAGGGCTGAGTTTGCAGCGTGGCTTTGGGAAACCATCAGCCCCAGACATGTTTGAGTTGCCCCAGCCACCCTGATGGGGATAACTGCCAGCCTAGAAATGGTATTTAATTTTGCTGCTATGGTCCAGCTCTACCCAGCTGTAGGGGGCTCAAGGGAGCCTTGGCAGAGAACCAACACTTTTCTGTCCCCCCAAATGCTCAGGAAAAGTGGTTGTCCCTTTCTGAGGTCTTTGTCTCTTGGATTTGCTCCAGTTTTAGTTCTTCAAGCCATGACCTTGCAGTTCAGTCTTGGGCAAATCGCTTCCCCTCAGAGATTCTTGGGACAGCAATAAACAAACCGTCATACTTGTCACAACAGTTTGAGCTACCCTGGAGCTGGCTGTGAGTCCTGATGAATGTGCCATTATAAAAATGAGTTGCAAATAATGTTTTGCCAGCTTCTCTGGACCAAGCAAAGACACTGACCTGCTGTTGGAATTAAGTGTCACTAATGTAAGCATCCAATGCAAGCATCACTCGGGCTAAAAAGGGAAGGGAAATGTCCTTGTTCTCCCAGCCTGAACAACAGAAATGAGCTGTCCTGAAGATCCCCAGGGAAGGGGATGTATAAGACCAGCCAAGCAGTGAAACTGCTCTGGACTCTGCAATGCTCTGGGCTCTGCAATGAGTTGCTTCTGGCTTTGCCATAGCCAGAACCATGGAGAATTGGGCTGGCAGCATCACCTTGTCTGCTGAGTATAGGGGAGCATCACTTCCCAGCCTCCTCTGGCTCCTAGCAAGGTTTTCCTCAGGAAAAGCAGTTATTTCTGTGGCTCTGGGTGTTTTGGGTTGCCATCCTCTGAACTGTGTGTTTCTCCTGCAGAACTGCCCTGCTACTGGCCGTGAGGAGCTCTGCGAAGTGGCTGGGTACCTGGGCAGAGCCGACCCGTGGTACGAGAGCAACATCAACACGCTGTGCCACATGATTCCTAAACTGGCCACCATGGTATGAGGGAAACCTTTCTACCTCTGCTGGCACCTGCTGAGCCTGGTCCATTTCTCAAATACTCCTGAAATACCCAATGATGAGCTCATGCCCTGCAAGGCCTCTCCATGCCCCAGACAGAAGCTTTCTCCCTGCAGACTTGTTGTGGGCCTGGTAGCCGGGGAAGGTGCACATAGTTAACATTGCCCTAGCCCACAAGACCTATTTGATACCATGGGTTTTTTTGGCCAAGCAACAGGAAATGACGAATTTCAAAAAAGAAAATGTAAATGAGGCATGTGCTGCAATACCCCTGCACTCATTTCCTGGCAGTTCGATCCACCATCGATAGTGTCCAGAAAGAGGCCAGTAGGTGGGTTCAAGCATTCACCTCTCCTGTTTGCCTTGACGAGTCATCACAGAGCAACCGAGCATGGCCAAGGGCCCTTGTTGCTCCTTATTTATCTAGGAGGGCTTAAGGGTTTGTGACAGTATTTTTGAGAAGTGACTGTGGCTGATCCGCAATGCTATTTCCCCCCTAGCCTTCCTCTCCGAGTAAGCATCTTGTGACTGATCTGTTCCTCACTGATGTGATTGCATACTATGTCCGCATGGGCATCCAGCCCGTCTGCTTCCAGGTCTATGCAGTGAAGGTGAGTGCCACATCTTGTGCCTTCATACGGTCCTGAAAGGGCTTGCTCCCCATTGCCGACAGAGCTGTACCAAGTCAAAGAGCTCCAAGGGCTTTCTGCTGAGCCTAGATCTATGTGCTCACCAGCTATCTCCCTTCTTGACAGGCTCCCAGATCTAGTGATTCCACAGCTCAGCTGGATTCACAGCTCAGCTGGAATCAGTGATCCTGGGAAGACTATTTCAGGATCATACAGGACAGTAAAATGATCCTTGGGATTAGCCCATAAGCCCAAGAATACCCTGCTCTGCTGGTCTCAGGTTCATTCAGGAGCTATGCGACCTCCAGGTGATTCAGATGGTGTGATCAAACATGAATCTTCTTGGTGTCTCTGCTAAAGCCCTCCTACACTTTGCAGGGGCTTTGCAGGGTTTCCTGAGACACTATTTTCTTTATTTCCTGCCAGCTTTTCTCTGAAATAGCATCAGAGTGAGGATAGGAGAGCAAATCTCTTAGCAAAGAACTACTGTATTTGGTCATGTAACAGCAACCCCCCCCCACCCCCCCCCCCCCCCCCCCTCCTGCTTCTCTGGTATTTTTCCTCCTTCAAAGCTTAGGGTGGGACCAACGCACGTATCTCCTCTTAATCTACCCGTAGCCAGTGTGGTAATCTGTTGCATCAAAGGGGCAGCTATTACTTGAGCAAACTGACACTGGGGCTTGCAAAGAGATGGAAGAGCTTTGGTATGTACTGGTAGAGCACCACCAGGCCTTGAATTAATGGCCTGTAGCTTGTAAGCGCTAGGAGCACCTCATTCTCAGCTTATGTGGTTGGCGATTTTGTTTTCTCAGTGAATTTCTGTTCCACATATTTCTCCTCCAAGACAGAACTCAAGAGCAAGTAAGCAAGCGAGTAGGTCACTCAGGCAGGGGAAGAGGAACTGACTCCAGATGTGGTTTTCAGACAGAAGCACCTAAACTGCTCTGCTGTAATACAGGGTCTGATCCTGCCTCATCTAGAAACATCGAGTCTACTTTGCCTTTTTAGTTGAGATCGCATTGTTTCTCTCTGGCTTCAGAGAGTCTTCCTGGAAGCAAGAATTAAGTACCCCAGGAACTTAACACGGGGCTGGGAACATCCCAAGAGGAGAGTCTCTCCAGGACTTTTATCTTCATATTTTACACAAAACAAGTCCATGAAGAGAAAATAATGAATAAGCCTCAAGTGATCAGTTGATATAGGTGTCTCAGACAGAAATTACCTGTCTTGGAGCCAAGCCAGCATCCTCAGTTGAGCATGGGAAGCTGCTCCCCTTGACCTACATTGCCTCTGGATAGATGGTTGGGAACAGACTCATCTGTGAGTGAGCAGTGACACCCTGTGGCAAGGAACACTGCCTGTTGGCTCTGCTGGACAGGTTCTCCTGAGCTCCCTGGCAAGGTCTGCTGTGCCTCTGGACCTCAAAAGGGAAAGCAAAAATCAGTTCTCTCCATCCCATAAAATCAGTTTTCTCCATCCCAGAAGTCCCCTATCTCTCTTAGTGAGGTCATAGTTTCCCTTTGGTGATGTCACACTTGGTTGCTGTGGAGACCACTGGGATGTCACATGTCCAGCTTGGGGTCAGAGGGTGAATGAGAAAGAGCTGCTCTTAGAGATTTTTCCTCTCTTTCAGATTTTCTTCAATGACCCAGCGCAGGAGCCAGCTGAGGACGTGTTCCTCACAGAGCTGCGCACCAGCATGCAGGATAGCATCTCCCAGAGAGGTGCGTGTCCCTGCCGCACACAGCCCTGCAGCCCTGCAGCTGGGACTGCTGTCTCAGGTGGAGGCCTCCTTGCCCCAATTCCCGCTTGTCCCATCCCTCAGCCTGCAGCAATCGAGGCTGTACAGTGAGGCAATAGCCTGTGTTCCCTGACAAGCAGGAGGCTTCCCTCATCATCCTCAACTCACTCTCAGGTGCATGATACCAGGCTAAATGAGAAAACTTGTCATCAGCAGCTCCTTGTCTCAGCCAGGTTTTGCAGACTGTGGTTTTGGTTGGCTCTGGGACCCTATGGACCGGAAGTGTGAATTCCAGTACTGGGCAAAAGGTGGACATACCCATTCCCCTTCAGAGCTCAGTCCCAGTCTGACAAAATGCTTACAAGCTGAGCAGAATGGAGTTGGACCAGCATCATAGTTTTTGTTGAGAGAATGAGCTGGGATTTAAAACCATCCCCTTTGCCAGATGTTTCCCCTGTTAGAAATTCTGCTTTTTAGAGCTGCTGCTGTTGGGTGCTTGGATTCTGTTCCCTTACAGATGTCACATCCAACCCTTTCTCTGGAGCATCCCTGGTGTCCAGGGGCTGACGCAGTGGATGCTTGCCGCTGCGATTTGGCAGAGACCCTTGAGTGAGTCCATCTCTCTGGATCTCAGCCTTGCATAGCAGGACTGAGTGAACAGAGCCTTGGCTCCTTCTGTAGGCAGAGGAGAGAGGAGCCAGTGTGCCAGCCCATGACTGCTGTGTGATGGTGTGGGTAGCTTGCCTCAAGGGAGGGGCCCTCTGTATTGACTACAGAGAGGTGGGATGAGTGAACCCTCAACCCTTCCTGGTTCCTCCTTTGCAGAATTAGCCATGTCCAAGAAGAAAACAACATTGGATGGCCCTGGCATAGATCTCACAGTAATGTACAGAAAGGTAAGTGGGGCTCTGAGCAGCCTGAAATGCCTCCGCTCACAGGGACACCAACACGGCATGAAGCTCCCCAAAGAACTGTTTTTGCCCCCCTTCTTCTCTCTGGAATTGTACTCCGGAAGAGGACATAAACGGGACCTTTTAAAGCCTATTAGCTAACCCTGTAGTAGTGAAAGACAGCTTTTTATTTTTCTTAGCCCAGACACGGCCTGAGAGCCAGTGCCCTTATATAGGCTGTGGAGCACGTTACTTGGTGAACGCTTACTAGGAGCTTTGTGCTGTTCACCAAGGGTTGAGTATGCAGATGTGTACTGCTCCCTACTCTGCTTCAGCAGCTTAAAAATATTCCTCCTCTCTCCTGTTTCTCTCCTCCTGCCCCTGAGCTGAGCTAGGATTTCCATACACTGTCCTCCCTTCTGACAACTTTGTGTCTTTCTAAGTAGGAAAAATGAAAGAGAAGACCCATGTCCAGCCTGCACCAACATCCTGGGTCCCCGGATCCCCCCAGCTCTGCCAGGTCTACCCCCTCTCCTAGAGTGAATTAACAGCGTCTTTTGTGCAGGTGGTGGTGAGTGATCGGGCAAAGGAGGTGGCAATCTCCCTGCGCTCCACAGGACTGGTGATGAAAGCCATCCCTGCTGATGAGGCTGAAGGTGGGTTCCTCCTGCTTGGGAACATGGGGAGGGGTATGCTGAGTTTCCCAGTACTATATAGAATAAATCTCACCGCAGTGCTTAGTGCTGATTGTGCCTGGGCTGTGTGAGTTGAACCAGTGCCATGCATATATTGGTGTTACCACGGTCTGTGATTTTTTATTTTCAAGTGCATGATGTGACCAGAGAATCCCTGTAACTTGAGGTTCAACATAACCATAATCTGGGCTTGGCAGCATCTTCCTCCTGCAGCAGCCTTCCTCTTTCACCTTGCCCTGAGCAAAGTTGCTGAGGCTTCTACCCTGAGCATGATCCCCTCTCCTGGAGCTTGCCAGAGTGCTCCTTTTCTGACTCCCTCAGTATCCCAAGGATCTCTACCATTGCACCTCGGTGAGGGAAGTGGCATCAGCCCTGCTCAAAGCTGAGCTCAGATCATGCCATGGTCTGAGGCTAACAAGATACTTCTGTTGCAGATCTGCTGTGCCTGAATGTGAACATCACTGAAATCATCAAGAGCAACAACTTGTCAGGGAGGTCGTTCTCAGTAAGTAGCTGTGGATGTTTGCAGTGCACGGAAAGCCCTTATGTGAAGGGGGAAACCCTCTGTGAGGAGGGGAAGGCTCTGTGGCCACTCTGCTCAGAGGGTGCTTTGGGGTTATTTTCCATGGAAAAGTCTAGTTTTTTGAACCGGAGCCACAAATGCAATCCCTGTTGGTTAGTTAATACCACATTAGATTGTGTCTCAGGAGACCCTGACACTACAGGAGTAAACCACTGCTGGGCTGATTCTATGACCCAAGGAACAAGGTGGAGAAGTAGGGCTTAACCCTCGTCCTCGTGGCTCTGCTTGGGTACAGTAAAAAGTCTGTAGTTGACATCAACTCCATTAGCTCCACACCTTCAGCTGCAGAATCCTCCCAGGACCCCACAGGGCCTGCGGGAATTGGGGCTGTATGCTTTAATGAAGCATAAGCAAGAAACAGGAACTTCAATGAATCTAATTACCAGCTCAGAGAGACTGACATGCAGGACATACGACTGAACAATCAGGCTCCTGTCCTTTTTGTTTTACACAAAAGTCCAGGCAGACCCTGGAGGACATGCTGCCCTGCAGGAATATATCACTGCAATCAGGCTGGAGTTAAGTATCACTGTGCCTTCCTCATTTGAGGTTGCCTTGGAGCCTTCAGTCTCTCTTTCATGGCTACAGCAACCTGCCTTATGGCCTGAAGCTTTCCTGGCCTTTCCTGGTCTGCACGGCTGCAATGTGTGCTTACAGCCATGCATCCCAAAGAGCCTTCCACTCTCCCGTCTTGGCAGAACCTGAAGGTCAGAGTTTGCAAAGGCATTCTCAAGACACGAGTTCATTTCCATCCTTCCAGTTTGGCTATGTAGCTGATTTGGACCTTATATTAGTCCCTGGAAAGGCTTTTGCAGTGACTGCTGGTGTTTTCAGCTAGCCAGTACTCTTGCTTGATTATTTTCACCTGGTTTTTGAAAACACTGAGGTGCAGCAGCCCACGCTGACTCTTAACATACACCAAGGCCCAGGGGAACTGGCCATGCCCCCTAACAGGTCATGTTAGGGGCGAGGCCTTGTCATGCTTCGCATCAGACATCCCAAACTTTGCAGCCTTTGCAAACTTTGACCAGGTTGAGATTACAGAAAAAGGAAAAGAAACACACTTCCCTCTTTAAAGCATCCACCTTGGATAACAGTCTGAGGTTAAAAACAAGAGCAATGCTGTCATTCGTTCCTTTCACATCCCATGTGCACATACCTTCAGCCACAGCACAGCCCAGGGAAGGGAAGTGAGACTCTCACTGGGCTCTTCCTCCTCTCTTGTTCCAGGCTGCGGCAAACAGGTTGAAAACAGACAATATCAAAATCAGGAGCACAGAGCAGAGGCCTTTCATGCTGTGTCTGGACAAGGACAGCAGAAGAGCTTATAGGAACGTGATCAGGTGAGGCGGCCTTGTGTGCCAGGCTTTGTGCATCTCCCTCGTGACCTCGTATCACTCCCCACAGGGGTTCCCAGGACAGCAGAGCTGTTTGCTGGGGTGTCCTAGTTCTGATCTGGTTATATATGACAAAAGACCCATAGACAAATACATTGCTTCCAGGGAAAGCAAGGCAGAGTTAAGCTCTCCTACCTTTGCATCTTCAAGTGATGGCATGAAAATCAAAATGGCTATCCCACTTTAAATAAGCTGCCATCATTGAGACAGTGGAAGGACAGGTACTTCCAAGGACAAACTCAGATATTAGATCTCCTAAATCATGCTGTGGAGCTGACCCTCCCTCTACAGACTGCGTTCCTTGCCAGGGTATTTCAAGCATACAAAGTTGGGCAGAGAAAATAGGGCCCTGTGTAAATAGCAGGGATTAATATTAATATAGTAAATGTAGCAATGTACGATGTGTTGGAAGTGAATAGATAAGGCCTATGATTGATTCAGGTCCATGAGCCACATGGAGCATATGTGAAATGTGAATTTTTGAGAGTCAAACTAAGCCAGGCTAAGGACACTGGTTTTGTGGTCAAACACTAATACACGTCAATTCACTTCCCCAGTCAAAACCAGTGCAAAAGCATAAAAAAACTACACATCTTAGTGCAACAGCTTTTTCTCTGCAGTCAATGGAGTGACTCGAGGGTTAGTCTGAGATCAGAGCGTGGCCCTTACAGGCAGATTTGCACATGCAGTAAAAATGTTCTTGTGCTCTTGCAGCGTGGAAGCGTCTCCTTGCCTAGAGCCAAGCTACTGCTTGCAAAAGACAAGGACAATGAAATCCAACTTGCACGAAGCAGAGGATGTGGGGCTTGTGAAATACATGCCCAAGTCTCTGCTATTGCCCATCAACACGTTTGCAGGCATCATCCAGTGAAGAAGTTAAGAAAAAGCAGATGTGAGAGGATGTGACACTGGGTCATCATAGAAGAAATGGGAAAAGAAAACACACTAAAAGTCACTGACAGTGATTTTACAATGGTAATGCTACTTCTAAAGCTGCAACAGTGGAGATGGATAGAGCTCAAGGAAAGGAAGCCATGCTCTGGTGAATGACAGTGATGACTGCAGCTAACATTCCCCTGCCAAGGGGCACGGTGTTGCTGAAGAACCAGCAATTTTAACCTTTGGTGCAAGCTAGGAAAAACCTTTGAAAGTCTTCATTTCAAGTGAAGGACTGGGGAAAACATGGCTGAGGTGATGGCTACTTGCTATGGTTGTGGAACAAGGAGCAGGTTCTATCAATAATATTTATTATGGTGGTGTCTCCTAGCCCGATAGGGGTCAGGGCCCTCTAGTTCCAGCAGAGCGATATATTTGGGCAAATTAGCGATTATTCCCTTGATGTTGATTGAAGAGACCACGTTACAAGCCTGACCACAGCTAAGAGAGTGTGTGTGTCCAATGCAGCTTCTATGGAAGTCAGTGGAAAACCCGCTGTTGTTTCAGGGGGCCACACAAAGTAACGACGGACGGTGCGAAACAGGGACGTGGGAAATTTGGTGCAATATTTTGCAGTAATGAACAGGACAAGAACAGCTCAGGCTGTGTAGGTAGTGCTGCAGAATATGCTCTTCACCTGCTGCTTGGTTGTGAATGGCAGTAGGTTTACTCTAAGAACTTGGCCTTCTCTGAGCAGACAGAGGAGGTTGCGCAACAGGTCTTTGACTTCTGAGCTATACTTCTGACATCCCCTTGGGGCCTCGCTGTGGCTTCACTAAATGACCTCTCAGTGTCTGGTCTGGAGAGTGTGCTGTATCACTGAGCTTGGCCCGGTTTTCGCCACATCGAGTTGCATTCCTCCAGGTGTACAACCTTGCAGTCCTACCAGCAGTAGACCTCCTTCATGAAGTCAACCAGTGGTATCTCTGCCATCCCAGTCTACCTTGCAGTCCTGCTTTGGACTATATCCACCACATGGGTAAAAGATGTAGAAGAGCAGAGTAGTGCCTATGGGATCGGTGGAGGAGTAGGATACCTGGAACATTTCTCCATTTCTTTGCTGCTATCATGGTATAGAAACCCTCCCCTGGTTTGCAGATGAGCCAGGTTGGGCAATGACAGCACAACTCCTGCTTCCACCCAGGCTCAAGCCAACTTACTTAACAGGATGATCGTGGGAGCAATGACTGCAGGAGGCTCCTCTCTTCATTCCAGTTTGTTGCAGACTGAAGCGATGGAAGAAACACAATGTGTATTTTACTTTCTGAATCTGATCTGTGGTAACCAGGGTGTATCCAGGGAGTTCTCCCTAAATTCCCAGTGGAGAAGATTTGGGGGCATTCCTTCTATGACACTATCTTTTTTCATTTTCTTGGATCCCAAGTGGCCCCTTGACTGGGTGACCCTCAGTCAGGGGTGCCTACTCAGATCAGCTACCTGAATAAAGTCTCCTTTAGCTCTGTATATGTGCACAGTGGCTATTCCCAGTCTTCTCCTGCTGCAATCTCTAGGGAGTTCCTGGGGCCAGCTCTGCACTATAAGGTGATGCTGGCCCAGCTGCAGTTGCACTGGCAAACCCCTAGGTCAGCCCTGATGGCTTGTGTCAGCTGGAGAAACGCTGCTGCACTGGGATGAAGCTCAGATTTTCTGCCACAGCTCTGGCCGTGGCAGGACATGGGTGAGCTCAGCTAGGAGTCATGGCTCTAGTTTAAGGTTATGGTCACCGAAAAGACAGGTGCCTCCTGAGGACAGCTCAATCCCTCCTCAGAAAGCTGCTGAAGCAATGAATCAACCTTGACCTGCTCCCTGAATTGCACCCAATACACACAGTGAGAGGGGCAGACAGAGACGGTCCCAAAATCCAGGGAAGAAATCCCCCGGTCTGTCCTGGCAGTGCCAGGTCTGCTTGGCTCTGGGGTCTGCACCTCCAGACTATGACTGCTGTTTAGATACCCATACCGGGAACAAGGAGCCCACCTCCAGGTATATAAGTTTGGGGTTTTGGAGAGGAGCTTTCCTTCCACAGAACTGCTTTCAGCTTGTAGGATATCTTGGCTTTTTAAGCCCTATGCCGGTCCTACTTGCATTTCTTGCCATGTGCACAAGGCTTTAGCCATTTAACTCTCAGCCTTCCTCGGTTCCTATCTTGCAAACAGAAGCCCAGTGCTACCATGTTCCCACTTTTGTCCCTGAGCTCCGTCACTCATTCTCACCTGATATTTTTGCTCTGTTTCCAAGCTAAAGGCTTATTCACTCTCACTTTAAATGCACAGTGCAGCCCAAGACAATCCACTGAAATACACTACTGGGGGTAAAATAGCTCTAGAGCTGTTGGCAGGTAATGGGTATTTAGCAATGTAAAAAGCATCACAGTCTGAAAAAGTATTTAATCCTCACACCAGCACAGAACATCCAAAAGATTGTGCTGGGCAACAGTAACACAACCACTTCCTAAAGGAAGCGGCCTTGAAATGCTGGCAGATGTAGCCCCTCATTCCAGGCTAAGCCAAACACAGTCCCTGAGCCTTTGTAGGATTCACAAACCTGCAAGATCTCAGCAGCAGCGTTTGATTCTTCAGTGCTGTTTTTCACCTCAATTTGCTCACAGTTCACAAATTGCTAGTGCCCACCACTGCCAGCCTTAGGCAGCAATCATTTTGACCCTGGAAGGAAGCTGAAGTTGGAAAAGAAGCTCAGAGACAAGTTAAAAATGCTTTTAGCTACCTGTCTTCCTCTGTGAGCTGCTGCATAGGGTAATAGGTGGTTTAAGGGACTGACCAGCGGCAATTCGCACCTCTGCCTCCTTGGGGCTTCAACGGAGGGTTCACATACCACCAGCAAGCAAGGCAAACGCTTACAAACCCAAGAGGCTCTGCACTAGCTTGGCACGTGGAACGTGGTGTCCAGAGTTGGCTCTGTACAATTGTAAATGATGTAGATTGATAATAAATTATTTGTATAGGTGACAGAGATGATCTGTATCAGAAGGTGCAATCTTTTTAATGGCAATTAAAACACATTTTAGAAGAAAACAGCAGAAAAAGGCCTGCCTTTTTTTTTTTTTTTTAATGGTTTCGTGCGCCTGGAGTAGGTGGGGAATAAATAGGTAGGAATAGAAAGACATCAGTGTCATTTTGCCCTCTGTGGCTGATGTCTTCTTTTCCCCACCTAGGGGCTACATGCTGTGTTACACAGAGGGAATCTCCATGTCCACAGAGCTCTTTTGTGAAGGGATGGACAGAAATGGCTGAACTCCAGAAATCTGGAAGCAGAAGTCTGTATTCCCCATGCCAGCTGCTCCTCAACTCCTCTCTGGGCTGATGGAGTCTGTCTCTGCTGCCTGTTCCCCTTAAAGGTGACCCCCATTCCCCTATTTCCTTTGCAGGTCCAGTGCTTGGCCTGGCACAGGTAGGCCTGGGCAGGGAGAGACGGTGAAACATGGACTTTCCCCATGCATCCTCTAAAGACCTTGAACAGTAACCGATGTCCTCTCACAGCTGACACCAGGACCTGCTCATTGATACAGCAGAAAATAGCTCACAAACTCATGCTAGTTGATTAGCTCTGCTGTGAAAAAGTCTTTCACAGATGTTTTCTTTATCCCTGGAAATCACAAGCAACTAATGCAGATCATTGAGCATCCATACTATAGACACAATGTTCAGATATAACCTGCAACGAGGGAGCAGCCAACTTCAGAGCAGCTCTGTCTTGTGAGTGAGGTCTGGGTGAAGCCCCTGCAGAAACGTGGCAAGCTGATCTTCAAAGCATAAGGGCAGACACTGTTGCCTGGAGGCTGGAGCAGTGGCTGCATCTTTCTCCACGCAGAGCTCTTCAGGCCATGGCTCCTTCACCTCCTCCATCTGCTAGCAGCAGCTGGCTCTCACCAGACAGGGAACACAGAAAAGGTGGGCATGTGGAGCATCAGTTCCCTGGGCAGCCAAATAACCTACCAGGGTAGGACTTGAAAGCAAGACCTTCCTCCTTCAGCTGGTGTTAGAGATTTCCCCTGGCAGGATTCCCCCTGTCCCTCCAGCTCCCAGCTTCCTTTGAGAGATTCTCAGCTTTTTAATTGTTCCTAAATACACTGATTTAAGCCATTATACCATGTTTGTGTTTGTGATACCAAAATGCTGCAATGCTGAGCAGAGACCCAAATCAGCTCTCCAGCTGGAGCCAGCACACGTATCTCTGCACAGCAGCCTGCTACAAGCAGGACCAGGGCTGAACCTGACCTCCCACATGAGCCCCAGCCTCCTCCACCTCCCTCACAAACCTGACCGGCCTAGATGGCAGCACTTTTGGCAGGTGCAGGTAGTTAAGGCAATCCCTGGCCAGTTGTCGGTGAGAACTGTTCACCCTGGACACACACCCTCTTTCCATCAGTGTTTCCGAAATACCACCTAGAACAACCTGAAAATACCCATTGGCTATAGATCCTTAAGAACCATGTGAAAAAGGAAAAAAAGAAAAAAAGAAAAAAAGAAAAAAAAAAATCCTCCCCCCTCTTCTTTCCTAGGGAGTATTATGCACCAAAATTAAAACTCTCAGAGGTGAAACAAACCTAACAATAAGAAATCCTGGTATAGATCATGTCTATGTATGGAACTAAAAATCACCTTCCTCCAGCTCTGTGTGAAAACACACAGACTGAACGAGGGGGAGGACAATGCAGTATGGCCACAGCGTCCCCATTAAAGGTGGAGCGATGTGTCGTCTTCGTACGACCTCCCCAGCAGGTCAAACCTGAGTGTTCACAACCCCATCCGTATTTCATACCTCACCAGGGTGATTTCATTGGCACTCTGCTCAGACAGCTTTTCCCTTTCTTTAGCTAAACCATCTGAGCCCTCCACATCACCCAGATCCAGAGTGGTCGAACATCCGTTTGCTCTGTGGGCACTCGAACATACCCTTTAGAACAAGAAGAAAGCAGCTTTCAAACCTGATGAGGATAAGAGCAGGACGTGCACATGGTGCAATCTGCAGAACAGACAGGGAGTCCTTGGGGCTAGAAAATGCTGCGCTGAAGCAGGACTACGAACACATCATGCAACACATGGTATTGGAAACGAAGAGCCTGTGCCAGGATAGAGTATTCTCCACCATGAATGATGATTTGGGGGGTCTGCCTGCACTGAGCTACTGAATTCAGGGGGAACAGGAATTTGGGAGCCTTTCTTTAATGTATTTCTTCATGTCCCGCAGGCTGCGCCAGCCCTTCTGGAGCAGGACAGAGCAGAGCAAAGGTGTTAGGAACTGGGGAAAAGGGTCCTGCATGTCTGGGAGAAAGTCAAAGTGTTTCTTCTCCCCTTCGTTATCAGCATGGAAGGTTTTGGTTCTCAAAATTCAGGGTGACTCTGAATTGAAAACGTTTTTTTTTTTTCACCTGTAGGTAAATGCTGTAGCAAACAATTTCTCCCTTGGGGAAATGAGCCAAGCTGGAACGTCCCTGCCACCACTTCAGGGCAATAAAATCCATGATGTTGTGCACGTGCGAGAGCGAAGCTGCTCTGCTCAGCGCTGCCATCCTTCCTTTTCTCCCTTCTACGCCTGCAAAGTGAGTTACAGCTGATCGATGGGAGGGGAGAGCGGATCCCTTTTGCGGCTGTCCTCTGCCTGTGCCGTTCCCTAAAGCCAGCGGGAAATCCCTGCGACGCCCCGGCACCCACAGCCCGGCTGGGGGAGGGCAGGAGGGCAGAGACTGCCGAGGAGAGAGACCACCGCGGCCCCCCCCGCGGGCAGCCCGAGCCTCGCTCTCACCCCACGGGCAGAAAATTTCTTCCGCTCCAGCATGTAGATAAACATGAATAAGGCTTAAAAGCAAATACGAAACTGGATGTGAAGAGTTAATTCTTAAATCAGCTGGCTCTCTCCACAGACCTGCTCGGCCTGCAGGGCAAGCTGCACTATCCCAGGGCT